AGAGAAGGGCCTAACCTGGGGTTCTTCGAACGAGCTAACTGGACTCCAGAAGTGCGTCCAGAACATGATAACCAAGAGTATCAAACTTGTCAACATGATCCAGGTTATGCTCATTCGCCGGATCCTTCCGTGCCAACGCCGGACTTGCTATTTGTGGGAGTTTGATCCGGCCAAGCACCAGACGCTGCTAGAGCTCTTCGGCACAACACACGAAGACATCTGGAAAGTATTCTTCAAGGCCGGCGAGACACCACCGCCTAAGACCGAGGATCATGGGCTTAGCCTAAAACGCCAGGCTAACTCGGTAAGTTCTCTCATGTTTTCAAGGTGTAGCCTTTACTGGCATATTTTTAGAAGGAGTCTAAGCCTTCCTATCAATTTTTTAGGCCTGGATCGACCTAGCGAGGCAGATTAACTGTCCGGCTCCGCTGCCCGAAGACCAAGAAACCCCGCTTCTGACGAAGATGCTGTTTTCGACGCCTTATGATGTGTCGGAGAAGAAGGCCAAGAAAACGGCCAAGGGGGCCCGGAGTGGCCTTCGCCGAAAAGGCACTTCGGACGTGACGTCCGAAGACGGGACTCACTCTTCGGTCGCCGAAGACGACGAGGAGGAGGAGGAAGAAAGCGACTCCCCCTGGGGGGAAGGAAGAAAAGGGAGGCCTCCCCAAATTTGGAGGCGAAGGCGCCCAAGAGGGGGAAGGGCTCCCTTGCGGATAACTCCGCGTGGGACGCCGATAGCAGTCCGGAGTGAATGCCCCGGACCAAGCCTCGGGCCGCCTCGTAAGTACCAAAACCCATATGGACATCTAAATGCCTGGCCTCTCCATTTTGTAATATTAATATGTTTAAATTATGCCATCACAGTCCAGCCCACAATAGCTCTCTGCGGATCCTCAACAGAGGGTTCGCTAGATTCAAAGGAGATGGCCAGCGTGTCACCGCCGCCCGCTCACTCCCCCAAGTCCAAGGACAACGCGGAGGTGTTGTCCCGAGGGACTTTCCCGGGCCGGGGAGAGGCTCAGAAGGCGCCAGAAGGCGATGCCTCCGTCGTCGGACACCAGCGGGGGCCGATCCCCATGTAGACTGGTGGTGAGGAGGGCCGTGTTCAGTCCGGCCCTCGGCCGGACTCGATTCCGGAGACCGATGCGGCTCCCGAATCCGGCACGCAACCTCCTTCGAAAGAAGGGGGTATGCGTATTTCACCGTTGACCCCTGTCCAACACGGGGCACCGGATAATCTGCTGGAAGCGCTGCGAGGTGCTTCCATTGTGGATGAGCACCGTGTCCTTATGGGCACGGTAATCGAGAAGGTTTAGTCCGTCAAAAGCGGACTGACCAAAGCCTGCGCTAGCCTTTTAACAGCCTTTGAGGTAATTGATGTAATTGTAGAAAGGATATCATAGTGTAGACAGTAGCCCCTGATGCTATGTTCGGTGTTCGGAAAGAAAAGCCGAACAGAGGATCAAAATAATTTTCGCATGAGTCTAACATAAGATGTCGATGTGAATAAACAGGCGTCCCTACTGACTGCTGCCGCTCATACTGTGGAGGTTTCTGGCCTGAAGCAGAGCCTGGAGCGGGCCGAAGAAGAGCTCGGCCTCATGAAGATGCAGCTGGAGGACAGCCAAGGTATGCAGTGACCTGCGCGTATATTTAGGAAGGATGAATGTTTCGTGCTGACTAAAGTGTCATGAATTTTATTAGGGGACACGACCGAGGTGGCGGCCTTCAAGAAGGCGTTAGCCGAGGCCGAGGACAAAGTGGCCAAGGAGCGCGCCGCGCGCGAGAAGCACGAGGCCCGGGTCGGCGAGGTCCAGCAAGAGCTTCAGGACACCATGAAGAAGTACGAGTCCTTGGAGCGTGATTCTAAGACGCAAGCGTCCGAACTTGCGAAGGCCCACCAGAGCGCACAAGAGGCTCGAGCCGAGGCCCAGAGTGCCCTTCAGGAAATCCAGGCGGCCAAGAAGATCGCGGCAGGTAAGGCTTTCATTATGCAAAGCAAGTCTGTGAAGGAAATGTTCCTTTTATTTACCCGAATTTGGAGCTCTCCAGGGGCGTTTACGGATTTGCCGCGCAGCGTATCAGATGCTGCTGAGTTCTATCGAGCCGAAGAAGGGAGTTCTACGGAGAAGCTGTTCTGGTCTCAATATCTTGGACCAGAACATCCGATGCCCTTCAGCAACCAGCTGAAACAGCTGGTCGAGCTGCACAAGGCGGCCGAGCTAGCCATGAAGGACCTGATAGTCCGGCTATGGCCTGCCGCACCGATACCCAGCAGCTACTTCGGACTTGTGAAGCGGCTTGTTAGTGCCTGCCCACGGCTTGAGGTTATAAAGCGGTCGGTCTGTATTGAAGGTGCCCGGATGGCCTTTGCCCGTGTCAAGATGCACTAGGCGAAGATGGATGCCAAGAAGCTGATGACCGAGGGGCCGCCTGAGGGCATGGAGCACCGCCGACCCGAGTTATATTTTGATGGTGTCCTAGAGGGATCCCACCTTGTGGTGGAGCAATGTGCGAAGGATGTTATATTCCCAAGAAAATATTCGTATTATCATGTCATGTAACATGAAACAATGATGTTATGTAATATAATGCTTGTTATGTTTTAATTTTTTTCCTGTGCGGCCGTGTTGTATGAAATATGAGGGTTGGCCAGTCGTCGGCTTCAGCCCCCACGTAGGTAGTACGGGGGTGTTTGGGATGGAATCTAAACAATCTTGATTCAATTATATGGTCCTTGAAGAGTTGTTTAGCGCGACGAACCGGGCAACCAGACTATGCGACTTGAACGCCCTCACTTAGCCATAGGAGTTTTACAATAAAGACATGGGCGCAACCCCTAGTATCCGAACTAGAGTGCTATAAGCGTCTGATCAAGAAGTACCGATCCTTCGCGTAATGCGGAAGAAATCTCCAACACCTAAAGCGCACACCACATGCACACGTTTTAGGAGCCGTCATCATCATCGGACCACTGACCCATCTTCAGAAGAGATATTCGCATCATTTGCCAGTCCGGACATCCGCTGACGCCACCACGACGCCTAACAGTGCCACCGCTATGCGCTCATCTGTCCAAACGTGAAGACTCCAAAATAGAACTCACCGAAGGTGCCGCCGATGCAACTACCAGACCCTCCACGCCGTCACCGCCGATCCAAAGATATATGGCGCGCCGCCGCCGCCCGAACAGGGCTGGTCGCCGCGCC